ATAAACTCAAAAACCAGGCTGTGGGCTAGACGCAAGCCTGGGTCAGCATAGATGCCCAGCTCAGAGCAGAGGCGCCTCCTTCTGCAAGGGACTGGCTTGGTGACATTCTGAAGTTAATGCAATGTCTCCAGCGTGGGGGAGTTTGGTACAAGAAAGGGATCTGAATTTCCTCCAGCCACTGACTGTGGAGTCCCTATGGGGAGAAAGAAGGAAATAGAATTCTTTAGCATATTCTCAATGCCATGGAATTCTAGCAAACATCAGACATAGTTAATTCAAGATGGGGATGAATTAAGGTAGAACAGGAGATTGGAAATTGATTTCCTAGGGATTGAAGTAATGATATTTTCCATTTGAAAAATTCTCAGAATGGAATTTCTTACCCTCTCTTTACTAGTCTCCAGCAGACTCGGGAGCCTATCCTGAAGCTGTCTTAGCAAAGACATTTAGGCTCGCGCTTAGGAAGTAGCGAACGCTGGGACTTGGGACGGGAGGAGAAACAGCGTGACGGAATACATCCTTTCTGTTACTGAGAGCCGAGGAGAGCCATGCAATCTGCAAAATTGCCCCTGATTTGCTTTCTTTCCACCAGCACCTCACAGATCTCCTGAGTTTTCACGAAAACCAGTGGAAGAGGTCATACTGACGATGAGGAGAAGCTGAATGCAAATAAGCTCAGGTGTGGAGTTAGGAAAGAAAGCAGGCTAAGGGTTGGAACAACTAAAGAGGTCAGAGCAGAGCATTCAGTTCACAGCACCCATGGTGTGCCCCCGCTGTCCCACTGTGGGGACGCTGGGCAGTGGGAGAAGCCCGGAACAGGAAGCGAAGCGGAGAGAGCAGTTACCAAATGTCCAGTGATCCGGCTGCTAGCTGCTTCTCCAGCACTTACCATCTGTGGGCTGGTAGCATCTTGCTTTACTGTCCTGGACCTCAGTTCGCCCATTTGTAAAGTAAGCAGGGCCGGCTTCATGGGTGTGCACTTGGTTTAGTGCTCTGCTGTCACCATTTTGAAATTCTTAATAACGAGAAGCCCCACATTTTCACTTTGCCCCATAAATTATGTAGCCGATCCTGAAAGTAAACGTGGGGTATTAAGTGGTTCTGTTTAAATTAATTGATTCATTTATTTTATTTTGTTTTAAGTTGTCTGTAAAATTATCCTACGAAATCGGGGTGATGAAAAGATAGAAGCTAGAAAGAGAACACACTCTAGAGTAAACACTCTTTGTTGCCAAATGGTGAGGTCTTGATCAGTTGGCTACCCCAATTAACTGATAAGGTTAGCTTAGCTCCTCCATACAGATTAATTGTCATAACAACAAGATACTGAGTTACAAACTAAACACTAAAATTTATACTGAAGGTATTTTAATCTTCTGGCTCTTTTATTGCCAGGGGATGTTCATTCTAAACTGTAATTCTCATTGAAAAATACAATATAGAAAACGTATGGTTGTTTCAGTTTCTGATTATCCTAATTATGTCATGATCATAGTAATATTCATAATAAAAAGAAAAAATTTATTGAAGACTGAATATGAGTAAGGATCTTTGCTAGACTACGGGATTTCAGACTTAGGGGTAGGATCAAGGTCAAGATTAAAGTTAGGGGTTAGGATTAGGATTAGGGGTTGGGATTGGGATTAAGGCACAGTACCTGACCTGGAGACATATTAAACACAGAAACTCAGACAGACTATTCATGTATATAAATTATATATATATATATATGCATGCACACACAGTAGCAAAGGAAGGAAGTCTTGGTTCAGGGCCAGTGAGCCTCAGAGTCACAGAATGTTGCAGCAGCTCAGGGGAGGGGACTCTCAGGAACCAGGAAGCCAGTCCAAGTCATCGTGGTCCCCTTGGTGGCAATGGTGTGTGCCCCATGGTATCAACTGCAGTTGGTTCCTATAAATTTGGGAGTCACCATTGAATCAATGAATGTGTCGGTAAAGACCTGCGTCCTGGGAGGCCCCGGCTAGTCCTCTGGAGACGTAGAGGTGAATAAGCCGAGATTCTGGCGTTCACACAGCTCCAACCCAAGTGAGTGAAGAACATAGGTGTGTGACTGAGATCTCACCAGTGAGCCACCCACCGGCCCAGCCCCCTGCCAGCTGACTGACAGGAGGGCTCTCAGAGAAGATGAGTCAATAGAATTCTCTTTGAGTTACTGATGGAGACAGTTGGAAAATGAGAAAAAGATCAATCAGGGGAATCAAAAGAAGCAGGCTTGCATCAGTCAGGGTGCCCCAGAGAACTGCGAGGTGAGAATGTAGCAGAGGGTGCAAGCTCTAGTTTGGCCCGTCAGCTGGCTGCCCAGCAGTGCCAACATCATCCCAATCTTATCTGCTCAGGGGGACAGTCACAAAAAATGATGTTACCCTACTCTTTCTAAAAGTAAAAAATACACAGTATAATTTTGCCTTGCTTTAAGCAACCCTGATTTTTAAAATCCAAACAGATAAATCACTGAAGAATCTTGACTTTATAAAATGTCTTACCACAAGATGGCCTTAAAAAGTAAACTCCCATAGCAGTACACTCTAGATCGAACTTGACTTACAGAAAAAGAATTTCTATGTAGCAGTGCAGCAGCACGTCTGCTACATAAAGTCAGGCAGCCTTGTAGCTGATCCAAAGTCATAAATAAAATAAGAAGCAGTCATCCTTCAGCCACATTATTCAATTGAGAAATCTAGAGGAGCAATCTAAACAACAATCTTCCTGTCAGTGGCTATATTATTAGACTGCAGCTTCCCAGTTTCCTGTATGTTGACAGGAAGCTGATCTCCTGAAGTAGAAACAACAAGACAATATATACCCGTGGGATCACTTCTTCAGCCCCACTAAATATTGGTCAGGGCCAGTTTGTCTACACATAGCTACTTCATCTGCAGTGAAAAGTCTGAAGTCACAGATTGGCATGCAGCGATTTCCAGGAAAGTTCTAGAATAAAGTACTTAGATGATGATTTGTGAGCACTTGGAAATCAAGAAGTGACCACTCAGAGACAGCCTAGTTTCACTAAAAAAAAAAATAAATAAATGGCATTCTTTTCTTTTTAGGATTACTTCATCAGTAAAGTTAAGAAATGCCATAGATGAAACTTACCTGAATTTTAGCAATGTATTTAAGTCATGAAATTGTCATAGACGAGGTGAAAAACAATGTGGGTTCAATGAAAATGCAATTATATGGATTTGTATTTTCTTCAGCAACCATACTAAATGGTTAATGAATAGACTTATGTGAACCTAGAGGGATGGCCCTAACAGTGTATCACAGGGCTCTCTCCTGCCCAGCATTTTATGAACGTCTGGAATAAAGATTTAGAAAGTCCAATTATCAAAATCACACAGTATATAAAGCTGGAAGGCTACCATATTAGATAGCAAAATCTAGACTCAAAAAGTTTCAGTTGCAGGGCCGGCCAAGTGGCACAGTGGTTGGGTTCGCATTCTCAGCTTTGGTGGCCCAGGATTCACAGGTTCAGATACCAGGCACGGACCTAGACATGCTCGTTGCCATGCTGGGGCAGCATCCCACACACAAAGTGGAGGAAGATTGGCACAGATGTTAGCTCAGGACCAGTCTTCCTCATCAAAAAGAAAAAAGTTTCAGTAGGATGGAGGAGAGAATCAAAACAAACAATATATAGTTTATAAGGGATAAATGTAAAATTTTACATTTAGGATTTTAAAGGTTTTTTTTCTTTTTCTCCCAAAATCCCCCCAGTACATAGTTGTGTATTTTTAGTTGTGGGTCCTTCTAGTCGTGGCATGTGGGATGCCGCATCAGCGTGGCCTGACGAGCGGTACCGTGTCCGCTCCCAGGATCTGAACCGGCGAAACCCTAGGCCGCCAAAGCGGAACGTGCAAGCTTAACCACTCGGCCACATGGCCAGCCCCTAGGATTTTACATAAAGGAAAAATCTGCCTTGATGGAAGGTCATGTAACAGAGAACTAGGTGTTTTGGTTGGCCACAGGTTTTATATGAGCCCTTAATGAAATAGAGACATTAAAAACAACAGCAAAAAGCCAATATATTCGTGGCAGTTAACATTTATTTTCTCCTTACTTATCAAGGATTCTTATTTTCTTTATACTCTTCTGAATTTTCCAAATTTTCTACAATGAGCATATGCTATTTTTATGAACAGAAAAAACTACTCTTAATATTTGAAAATATTTGAATGATTATCTACGGAAGTTGGAGCAGGCTATTCTGTATAGTTTTAGAGGCTTGAACTAGGGAAAATGGCTTGAAGTTGCAGAAGACAACTTTGGGCTCAGTCTCCAGCTCCCGGTGGAGTGAGCACCTATCCCTCGGAGTGTCCACCTAGACGTTGGCTAAGTACAGAGGTGGCACAGCACGGCACAGGGGTCAAAGGCTCTGGGTCTGCCAAACTGCCTGGGTTCAAATCTTGACTGTGCCACTTCCTCCTCATATGACCTTAGAGAGCAACTCCATGATGTTTCCATCTATGAAAGGTGCATGGTGGTAACTGCACTTACCCATACATTTGCTAAGTACTAAACGGGTTCATCTATATAAACATTCTTAAAACAATAATCGATCTATGCTCAATAAATATGAGCTGTTATTATCTGTCAGGAGTGGTATGGAAAGGGTTTCTGCTTTGCTTGGGAAATTAGCCTAAATAATTAGTAAGAGTTCCCTTCAATTCCATGATCTTATTGTTCCAGGTGAGGACCACAGGTACTTATTACCCAAGCCTGATATCCTGAACAGAATCCTGATAATAACAAAATTACTGCAGGAGAGCTAAATATATTACAAAGGAGGAAGTCCCCAAAGGCTATGTGGAACCTCATGGCTTTCATTACCAATAATAGGAAGTAGGCCCAGCAGTGGCACTAGACATATAAACCAAATCCATGATTGGAAGTCCCAATGACTAGACAAAGGATAGGGCAGGCGTGAAATGGCCAGGAGAAGGCGGAGCCAGAGGAATTACAGAAAACAAAAGTCTGTGTTCGTTCATTCATTTATTCATTCGTTCATTCAACAAATGTATTTACTGGGCACCTGCTACGTATGTACAAGCCACTGTGCTGGTTCTAGGCACAGAAAATCAGGTACAGTCCTTACCCTAGTGGACTTTACTGTCAGTGGTAAATTTGTTTTAACCAAATAGTCACACCAGTAAATATAAAGTTAGATCTGTGAAAGAGAAGTACCCAGGGCCATCTGGAAGAGATTTGCCCTGGTCACAGACATCAGGGAAGACGTCCCTGAGCAAGCCATGACAGAGCTGAGATTTGAAGAGAGGGTGGAAGTTACAAGATGAAGAGGGGGAAGAGCATTCTGGGCAAAAAGCAATTGGTGAGAGGAAGCATAGCAAGTAAAAGGAACTGAAAGAAGGACAGAGTGGCTGGATTGCAGGGAGCACGGCGAAGCGTGGTTTGAGATGAAGGTGCGGGGCCTTGTGGTCATGTTAAGGAATAGTGTATCCCAAAACAATGGGAAGGCATTCAAGTATTTTAAACATTTTTAGGCGGGGTGGGGGAACATGAAGTTCAGATGAAGAAATCGCTCTGGATACACCGTGGAAGGCAGAGACAAAAATGGCTGCAGATAGGCCAGTGAGGAGGCTTTCACAGCAATCCAGGTAAGAGAAGACGGTAGCCTAGACTAGGATAGCTGGAATGGAAGTAGGGAGAAGAGCATGGGTTCCAGAGAGGATTAGAAGGCAAAACTGAATGTGAATGGTAAAGCAGAGGGAAGGGTGATGGAGACTCCAAGTGCTGGAGCGTTTAACCCTTCAGTGAGATAGAGAGCACTGAAGAGAGTTGAGGGAAAGATCAAGAGCTTGCTTTTGCGTGTGCTATATTCTAGATGCCTGTGAGGCTTCCAAGTGGAGATGATAAGTGTTAAGTTGGATATGTGGGCCTATTGCTCAGAGGAGTGATGTAGGCTGGGGAAACATTTTTGGCATGAATAAAATATAGAATAAGAAGAGAAGAGTGTCCAGGATTGAGCCTTGGGTATTTCAATATTTATTGACCTGGGAAGGATAGATAAGGCTGCAAAAGAGAGAGTAAATTAGCTGTCAGAGGAAACCATGAGAGTCCTGTGTCACTGAAGCCAAGAAAAGACAGTGTTTCCAGGAGGAGGGGTGGTCAACACTAGACTACTGCTGAGAGGTCAAGGAAGATGAACGACCTTAGCACAGGCTGTTTGATTGGATTGATGGGGAAAGAGTGAACCTGACAGTGACCTGAGGACTGAGTGGGAAGTGAACAAACAGAGTCAAGTATAAACATTCTTCTAGAAGAAGAGAATGTGATAGTTTGAGGAGAATGTAGGGTTGGGTAAGACTCCCAACGGGAGTCTTAAGTATGCTCTAAAGCTGACAGGAAGAATCCAGTTGAGAGGAGGTTGCAAATGAAAGCATAATGAGAGAGCGTGCAGCAACGTCTAGGGACAAGGGACTGAAAAGGATACATGGCCAGGAGACTTGCCTTTTGACCAAGGAGATAAGGCAAGTAGAATTGCCTGGTCATAAGGTGGTCACAAATGGCAGGAACTCTGTTGATGTTATGACAATTCTGGTGGAGAGTGAAGCAGTAGGGGTCAAGGCTTCATGTTGCTCCCTGGTTTAGGGTTACAAGCAAAATATTTGTGAGATTTCGGTAAAGTATTACTGAAGAAATCCTAGCTCAGGTATCTCAGAGATTGAGTCCTTGCCCAAAACAGAAATAGTAGCAGCCCCTTTGGGTGGGAGTTCTCACAGATGGATCTCTCCTGAGCTGAAATCCGGATCAATCATTTTCTGAGGAAATGATATCAGGTATATTTCCTCATTCATGTCACAAGATTATTTCCCAGAAGCATAACACACTGCAAATGAGGAAACTGAGCTGCATACCTAGCCATGGCTCAACTCAACCAGAATGGAAGAATTTGGAGTTTGCATGGGTCCAACTTTTCAGTGTTTTCTAAAGTGTAGAATACCCACATGGCATGAAGCCATCATCTGAGACACAGTGTCTTCAGAAACCCACTCCCAGGCCTTATGAAGTCACAGCAGAGAAGGAAATCCACTTTGTCTTGAGCATCTGCTTGGCGCCAGGCTCTGTGTCAGTCACCTTTGCAGACGTTATCTCACTTAATCCTCCTAACACTCTGTGGCGTCAGGATCTGAGCTTCTACCCAAGACGAGAGAAATCTGCCTTGCTGAGAGCTCCAGCCTGGTTCTTTTACATCCCTGGTGGCCTTCACATATGGCCCCAGGCGAGCCTGGCCTGCCAGGCCCATGATGGATAGGTGGTTGAATTTATGGCAGCATGTTCTCTGAGCATTTCCATACTTCCCCCAGTCAACCCAACTGCTGGGAAAGGTTTGTATTTTTATCTTCTCAACTTTCCTTTTTTCCATGTTGTGTTCCAGACAAATATTTGTGGTCATAGCTCAGTAAAACCAAAGTACATAAATGTCATTTGCTAATAAAAGAAAAACAAAACAGGAGGGAGGATTTTCTGAGTAGATACCAGATACCTAATAAATTATTTTTTAAGCCAATGACCCCAACCCCCACTGTCAAAACCCTCTCATCTCTCAATTGACAGAACCAGAGCAAGCCACTGAGCAGGGCTTCTAGGAGGAGGTGAAATCTCCTCCAAGAAATAGGAGCTCAATCTCTTCCCCTCTCCATTTCTTAATGGTATGCTCAGTCTTTGGCACTAGGGAGCCTTAGGATCAACAGTTTCCTTGTCCCTTGTCACCCTACCATAATTGCAACAACTGCTAAGAGGACATATCATTATTCAGCTTTCATGTTCTGAGTTTCTATAAATTTTTCTCATTACCTTATTTTTCCCAGTTTTTTAATCAGGTGAAATAAATAGAATACCAAAGACTGATCACCAGATACACGAAAGCAGTCACTAAATGATTTGTTCCTAAGAAACAGCAGCTCCAATACCCAAGGATCTACTCCTTCACAGGGCGAATAAACGTGATGTGTCTATAACTCCAGAGCGCCCTGAGGATTGCCGACGTAAGTCAGAGATTCACAAGGCTGTTCCACTCCCATCTGAGAGGAATTCCCACTTCCTCCCCTCTCCAACCTTTGTACTCCTGCCCCCTTGCCCCTACTCCCCACACCTCCTCCATGTAAAAGTGGGGGCAGCTCTCTTCCCATAAGTTTGCACCAGTCTAGCCCCAATTGAGTTCAGTGATGAATCAGTCAACAAAAATTTACTGAATACCAGCTACATGTAAGACTAGATTAAACCCCCTTTCACTACCTATCGTCTGCCTCGCTCATCAAGAATGAGAAACACAACACTTTGAAAACACACGCTATAGAAATGCTGAATAGTAATGATAACTCAAAAGAACACAACAGCCTAGGGAGAAAGCAGATTTTACTAAGGTGGATAAAATTACCCAAGGAGCACAACACATCTACTGAAGAAAGTGAGCCAGCATCCAACGCTTGTGCTATTTGTAAAAGTGGCGTTCTTTATTCAGCTTTTAAGTCACACCTGGCATTCGAAGCCTGTTTCTTAAACACAAGGTCCTTGAAAACCTTTCCTTTTTAATATACATGTGGCATTGTCTTATTCATTGGAATAACTTCAAATTATGGGCTCTTTCCCAAACAAGATCAAGTAGGGAAAAAAAATGTTGATGTGAACATACTGTGTGTTCAATTCATTCATTCATTCCTTCAGCGAGCATGTATTGCATGTCTGCTACGCCTAAGGCATTATGCCAGGCACTGAGATACCAAGATGAATAAGACAGAGCAGTGCCCATGAGTTGTCGCAGTTTAGGAGGCACCCACACAAATTACAGCAATAAAGTGTTACAGGTGCCAAAACCGAAATCTGTCTAGTCACTACAGTAGGGGAACCAAAAGCCATTGCAGTGGGGTCTACCTGTGAAAAGTCATAAAAGACTTCACAAAAGAGATGAGAAAGGGTGACTTGGCGTGACGTTTCAGATTCACATCCAAGCATCACTTTTCTTACATTTTCTCATTAAGTAACTAATCTTTCTAGATACGAAAGAATTTGTTATTCCTGGCAGTAATGATAGACAGGCAGGCTTAGGAGTTGCAGCCTTGGCTTAGTCAATACATGTGAGACGCTTTCAGTTGAGGTTTGTGGTTTGTATATTCTTCTACAGAACAATCCACAATTACGATCCAACTTGTCCAGTTCTGACTGGCTAATCTACAAACAAAATAAAGAAACAGTCTCAACCCATTCTGCAAAAATTTTCTGGCCCACTATCTACTACAGTTGTGCATCCTAGAGCTGTGACTTTACTATTTAAAAGATATCTGGTGAAATTTCAACAAGCTCTGTAGTTTAGTTAAGAGTTGTGTATCAATGTTGGTGTCTTAGTTTTAAAAATTGTACTATGGTTATATAAATATTAAAATTGAGGAAGGTGGATGAGGGAATATACAGGAAATTTCTGTACTAGTCTCGCAACTTTTCGGTAAATTTAAGATTAGTTCAAAATAAATAAAATTAGTTCAAAATAAAAAGTAAATAACTACATGTGTATATAGATATGTGTGCATTATGTATATATTTACATTTTTTATGAGACCAGTTCTACTCAATGTGTTCCACAAACTGTTTATTACCAATTAGACAAACTAAACATGGAAACTGAAAGCAAGCATTTAGAGACTTTTATAACAATTTAACATTTCCTCAATATTTAAGCATATGACCTTTTTCCTATTTTTATTGCACTTTTAAAAAGTATCAATCTGTATTCATCAGAGTTCTCCATAGAAACAGAACCAAGAGGATGGGTGTGTTTGTGTACACATATAGAGAGAGAGATTTATTTCAGGGGAGCGTTGCAGTCCAAAGGCAGTCTGCTGGCAGAATTCCTTCTTGCTCATGGGAATTCAGTCTTGTTCTACTAAGACCTTCAACTGACTGAATAAGGCCGGCCCACATTGTAGAGATAATCTGCTTTACTCAAAGTCTACTGATTTAAATGTTAATCTCATCCAAAAAAAACACCTTCACAGAAACATCCACAACAAAGTTTGACCAAATATCTGGGTGCTGTGGCCCAGCCAAATTAATATATAAAATTAACCATCATGTAGTCCATGACGGATTGGAAACGAAAAAAATAAATAAAAATAAAACACCCTTCACTGGAGATAGTTTAAGAAGCATTGTATCGGATAAGTTTTAATAGTCTACCAAATAGTTGCATTGATAAAAAAACATTCAGCCTATGAATGCTCATTTAATGTGGGAAGAGAGGAAAATACTGGGAACAGCGCCCTGGGTGGTATGAGGAAAGGAGGATAGAACCATTTTTTATTCTTACCAATGAGTCTAGGCCGTTAAAATTCACCTTTGCCCATTGGATACGGTTGGTACTCCTCTAATCTAGAGGTTCTCAAACTTTCTCAATTCACAGCACCTTTGTGTCTCAGGAATTTTTTCACAGAGCCCATGGGCCAAAAGAAAAACCTAAAAGAAATACCATTTATACAGTAGTTAGGTCCCAGCAACTTAGCTGTTTGAAAAAAATAGTATACATAAATGACAACTGGGCACTGAACATCTTCTCAAGCCTTGGAACCTGTATAGACACCACCACCACCACACTGTTCCACACTGATTTTCACTTGGTACTTGCATTTTATAACAACCACTCAAGACCCAGCTTCTCAAAGATAAGATGCCTTACGAAGGAATGGAGTACAACCTAATGTTTAAGCTGTGAACTATCTTGACCGAGTAGTTCACCTGGTGTCCAACAGATGTCAAGCCTCACATGTGTTCCTCGACATTGAACATATGCCGCGGTGCCCCTGTGAGTTTGCTGTGGTGCCCTGGGCACCAAGCACACTGTTCGGGACTCATGGCTCTCTTCTTTTCCCATTTTTGATTCTCTTCACTCATTTGCAAAATAAAATCACCCACTTTAAGTGTCTAGCAACTACCTCTGTGAGGCCTGGGGTTAAGCAGAATGTAACATTTCCTGTCGTGTTGTAACTCTGACCTTTCACCGCTGGCACTCGAGAAGCTGTGTGTTCCCTCCTCTGTTCTTTGTCTGCTGTGAAGGCTGTAGCAGACTGGAAGGCCCCCAATGGCCGGGCATCCCAAATATGCGCCTCCAGGGAGCATAACAAAATCCTTCGCTCTGTTACATGTTTAAGTAAGAATAAAGTTTTTAACTATGTTGTTTTTCTATACAGACAATTAGATCAAGATTGAAAACAGTATAAAAATAGGAATAATTTGGTAACTTTTTCACTAATTTTTAACCATTCTTAATCACATCTTAATTTAATCCTGATTTTTCTGTTCAATTGTACTTATTTCACTCACCTTAAATTCCCGTCTTTGTAGTCAAAAGTCCCTTGGATCATGTAAGTGGCTCTGACAGCAGGACTTCGGGGCTTAAGCAGAGCTTAAAATCAAAACTTTTTTTCATCTGGGTTAATGCTTTCTCTTCATCATTATCATTGTCATCATTACAATATGAACTATTTATCCTGTTTGGCTGGTGTCAACAGTTGGAGAGAAGGCCTCCATCTGTCTCCTGTGTCCAGCTTGTTCCTGGCTCATTTTCCATAAGCAGAGGAAAGGGGGTGGGAGAGAGACGCACATATCTCTTAAATCCCCTGCAAGATTGTCTCTTCCTAACGACGACAAAAAAGACTCTCTTTCTCTCTCTCTAACCTCCCTCCCTTTCTATGAAGATCTCCAAGCTTGTTTTATCTACTGTTTCCTACCAGCTACATGCAGTTCACACAAACTGCCTCTGATATTAAGCTACTGTCTTGTAATGGAGACGATATTCCCTCTCCAGGGATAATTCCGAGCTCATCAGAACGTGTTTTTTAAAACCTCTTTTATAATAAATAGCACACAATTTTGGATAGTGGCACAGAGCGGTTTCGCCCTGCAGAACAGGTACCGGCTGCCAGAATGCAGATGAGCGGTGCCCTCCACTGCTGCTCCCATTTTCCCGGGCCTGATGTGGAACTTCCCCCTTCTTTCTTCCTGGAGCTCTTCTATAAGCCAGATGTCAACAAATATATTGGATTCTTTATACTTTAATCCATTTAATATTTTGAAAGTGTTGAAAGAGTTAGGCATATTAGTCATTCAACTACAGCTCCTTTCCGAATACCTTGGGGGGTTAGCAGGATACCTGTTTGGAGCAGGCATCCCAGAAGCCACCTCGCTGTGCTTAGAATCCAACTGGCACACAGCCTTCAGTGGGAAGGCTGATGGATGGCGTTCAGTAAAAATTAAAAGCCTAGGAAAAGTACAGGCCCCCAGGCCGGAACAAAGCAGCTGAATGATGGCTCCTTCTGCGTAGAGAGGTGGGAGTTTTTTCTTGCCCTGCTCCTGGGGATAAAAGTGAAGTCAAAACTTCTTGGCGACAGTGACTAATTCCTCATCTAGGACCTCCTGCTTTTGCAGAGCTAATTTCATGAGTGGTAAATGCAGGGTCTCTCAAAGTGACAGCTGATAGAGGGAGAAACAGACAAGAAGTACGACCGAATCTGTAACCATTACGGGCACCGTGCAACAGGAGGAAATTTTCAGAAGCAATGAGAGAGCAGCCCACGCCTACATCTCCCTCAGACACATTTTCTTCCTTCCTGACTCATCGGGTTTCTTTAGGAAAGCCTGGTGAGAAGGGATTAGGAAGCAGGCAAGGGAGCCAGCCTTTTCTGGCAGCATGGGGCATTTTGATTTCAGATTCTGCAAATCTTCGAGACGAGACTCCGTGTGCTAGCGTTCTAGGCTGGAGGCCAGCAGCAGTCCAGCTACAGATGAAGCGCATCAGATGGTTGGTGCTGTCAGCCAGAGACCCAAGGACTTTCCTGGGGCTGCACCTCTCCGGAAGTTTGAAGATGTGGGGACAGGTTTGCCTCCTGAAATGTGCAAATGTCACCAGCCGGGAGTGGCAGATGCCAAGAGGCGTCTGAAAACAGATCTCCATCTGGTAATGGGTTAGGCTTCCTGGGACATAGATTAGAATAGCTTGAAACAAAGTGACGGAAGCACAGCTTGGCTTTTCCCATATTGTAATGGTCTCTGGGTCATTTCCTGCCTTTGGAATTTGCTTCCTTTCCAGGTTCAACAAAACCCAGTAAATGACAAGAACGTGGTTGGGATTTTTCTTTGCCTCGGACCCAGCGGAGGGGCAGCTCTGCATCCGTGAATTTGCCTCTCTGTGGTGGTTGCATCCTCCCGTGCTCCAGTCTGCTCACACTGAGCTCGGTAGGGGGGAAGCCTTAAGAATGAAACAATAAATTAGGGAAGGGAGCCACCTCCAGTTGAGTCAGATGAATCCTCTTGTTCCTAGAAAACAAAAAGGGAAAGAATAGATTGGGGAAGGTGAAAATGATGCTTTACAGGGGGCGCTCTTCACTCAACACTCCATTCAGGGCTGTAGCCCCTTTGAAGGAAGAAGGTTGACACCAGCTCCGTATGTCCCCACCTCCGACCTCCTGGAGTCAGCCAGCAGGCCGGTTAGGTGCACAGGACAGTGACGTGTGCCACACAATAATGACCTGCTTTGTTTTATTTCACTAATATTTATTTCCCACAAAAACATTTCAGGCGGCAACAACTGTCTTCCCGGTAGCATTTTTATGCTCATTTTGAGTACTTTGAAGCTGATGAGGATCCTTCTTGCAAGATCTCTCTGCAGCCCCCAGTATGCCCTGTACACCTCCTGTAGTTCTGCAGTGCAGAGACACCCCAGAGGCCGAGATGAACTCACTTACTCCAAGGGCTGCAGGAGCCAGTCAAAACTTAATGCAGAGGCTGCTGTCGCTGCTGTTTCTCTAAGTCTGAATAAGTTTGTCTCTCTAGAGAGTGACCCATGGTCACAAGTTCCTTTTGTAAAGCCAGCTCATGTAGCCCTTGCTGTCAGGAGGAAGCTTGGGGAGTCTGTTCCCACATCCAGAGCCCATCTCTCTATCAACTGAGAGATCAGAGTCCACAGCTTTAAAGAAGGGATGTTTGTGCCCCAACCCTCAGTCTAAGTACAGCTAGCCTGGCAGCAAGTGCTCTGTCAATGCAAAGGAAGTGACAGCCGGTGATCAGCCTTTATCCTGGTGCCGCCTGATCCCCAGAAACAAAAACCAATACCCTTCCTCCCACTGCCACCGCAGAGCCTTGACAGGAGGCCAGGCTGTTACTGTGGCTCAGGAGTGAAGCAAACTAACCTTTCCGAATCGCACTGTCTCCTCCGGTTCCAACCACATTTAGGAAGTTCCACGGGAAGTAAGTCAGTAACTAGGGACAGAGCTGGCTCCAGAAATAGGCAGAGTCAGAAATACCTGCAGGGCTTGATTTTCAAAGCACTAAGAAGTCTGCCCAAGCACCCCACCTTTCCCTCGCAAGAGTACTCTGGCAGACCGAGGCTGCTGTTCCCCTGTACGCATGTTAACTTGGGACTGCTAACTTCGTAAGCTGTTGCTTTTAAGCATCAGAAAGTCTGATTGCACGGGTCTGGCAGGGAGCCAGGAATCTGCATTTTTAACAAGCCCACCTGCAGATGCTGGTAGAGGTGGTCTATGGCCCATATTTTGGAAAACTGTGCTGAAAAGAATTTTGAGTCATTGTCAGGTTAACATGAATTAACTGGTAATACAGGAGAAAGCATTGCACCTGGATTCTAGGCCAGACTTTGGCACCCTGCGTGACTGTGGACAAGACAACTTCATTCTCCAAGACTGAAGACTGAAGGCCTCGGGACCAGATGGTGACCTCTAAAAATTTAGCTGGGAGCTGCCTTCTAAATTATGGCCCAAAAGCCTGCAAAGTATAGGGGCTGGTCTGAAGAGTCAGAGCGGCAGGACTTCTCTAGTATGCCCTGAATGCTCGCTGAAGTTCTGCCTGCAGAAAACTCCAGAAACCAAAGAGGACCCTCCTGGCCCAGGGCTGCAGTGGCAGTATCCAAAGTCTTGGGGTACAAGAACTGCAGCAGTAGATCCATCTCCTTTCTTTGCCCACAGTCACTTCCAAATAGGAAAAAGGGAAAGAGAGAAGAAAAGATTTACTTAGTACTTTATATGCATTATCTTTTACATTCTCAACTAACCCTGGCATCATTAGTCTCATTTTGAAGAGGAGAGAATTGGGGATCAAAGAGATTGAATAACTTGCCCAAGTTCCCAAGGTCACATAGCTATTGAATGCTTGAGCTGAAATTTGAACTCCTGCCTGTCAAGGTCCAAGTTCCATGTTCTTTCCACAAAACTATTCATAACTGAAAGTTTTGCTGTGGCCATTCTGAAGCCCTAGATGTTTTGAGACCCTGAGAATACCCGCACATCTCCCTGAGGTTCATGCACACCTGTTACCCACTCTAATTCGGAATCTCACCTCATTCTTGATCTTTACTGTGTCCCTAATCACCCACCAATTCCTCAGCTGTGCTCATTTCTTATCCCCCGCCCCCCACAACTTCTTGACCTCCAGGAGTAAAATATCATGCTGCCACCTCTGCGAGGCCCAGGGGAACTTTTCTGTTCCACAATTACTCCAGTCACTGACTTTAAGACCAGTGGGTCCTAGAGAACCCAGGATATCACCAGAAGTTTCCATGGATTAAGAATCCTCAAATGCTTAAAGAGCATTTGTGTACTTACTGATCTGAGATTCCTCTCCATACCCTCCCCCGTCTTCCCCCCCTCATCTCTTGTCAAATCAAGGCAGAGATGCAGGAAACCTGGGTCATCCAGTGCCCTTATATTAGGAGATGCCCCCTCAAACCTCAACTTCCTAGTATTTGTGATTATTCTGGGATGCTGGGCACCCCCTAGTGGGAGTAAGGGAGAGAGAAGACAGACTGTTTTGGTGCTGTTCTCAATAAACCATCCACCCCCAGCTTCCTGCCCCTCAGCTGCCTTCGCCTTCCAGTCCATCTCACTGTTCTTGGAATGATTCATTCTTCCCACGATGATTGGGCCTTTTGCCCCATAAAGTGCTCCCTGTCTTCACAGACATAATGAACTAAAATTAAGCAGAAGGCAACTCAGGCAGAACAGCAGGAAAAACTTCCTATGGCGAGAGTGCTTGAAACCCTGAAATCCCTTATCAGGCAAACAGAGTAAGACCAAAACAATAGAGAACATTTGGAAAGATATTGTTGGAAGTGAGGAGGATGAGGGAAAGGCTACTTTCCTCTTTTCAAGATATATGTTAATGCCCCCATCTGACACACTCAGCCTGAATTCAAGACTTATATTAATGCCCTGTGCTATCTTACCCCTTCTAAAGTTAAGAGAACACCCAGCATTTACCATTTTGGAATAAACAGATGAAGCCCCATCCAAGCAGAAGGGCAGCCCATCTGTGGACTGGGCGCTACATACCACTCTGGGACATTCTGAACATCTGTCATTATCACCCACTCTTTAAGGACCATGGCCGTTGTCCCCCATGACAGGGGATGAGCCCTATTACATTGTAATCAGTAAACCATTTCCTGAGTACCTACAACATATGAGACTCAAGTAGGCCTGATCTACGAATTTTTAAAATCTGCCCACATCTAGCGTAGTCCTTCATCCCAAGAAGGGCTTTAATAAAACATAGAGCTAGCAGGTCTGAGTCCATGCACTAAGAATTCTTCTGGGCATATTCACAGTGCATATTTTAGCTAAATATCTGATCATTTGCTTACTGGGCAGGGGTCAGCCAGTCTCATCCTGTGGCCCAAAGCCTGTTAACAATTGCATAGCATCCCACTCCATCTGGCTTTGGTTGCTACAGTCTTACTCGTTCCTGGATTTGAGTCATCAACTCATTAGTGCCCATTCAAGTTGGCCTTCTCTGATAAGTTCCCTGAAGCCCTGCTCAGAATGCTAGCAATTCCAGTGCAGGATTTTCTCTGCTATGGCTCTTGCCTCATCTTGAGCTCAGTTATTTAGACAGTATAATCTCACAACTGCTTACACTGTTGATCCCTTTCATCTTTTCTTTCAGTCATTTGATGATGTTCATCTCTCTGACAACCAAGAACTTTGGAAGAATCTCTCTCCTCAGGCACTTCCATTTTTGTGTCCAGATTGGCAGCCTTCCAAACTCGCCAGAGGCCTTGCAGAATGAAACTCTCTGTGGAGCGTTAGAAGACAAATTGGACATAAGTCCATTGGACATCTGGGAGAAAGAAGAAAGGTCAAGGATGCTCCAGCTTGGTCAGCCTCTCAGGCCTGGCAGCAGAAGCTGAGACTCCTTCCTGCATAACTTGGGCTTGAATTAAAGGCATTTTTTAGTCTGGAAACCTTTGGCCTTCATTCTGAATGGAACACTCAAAGGGTGGAGTAAGGTTCTCAGCTGGCAGGAAGGACACACCAGCCTCTGGCCGCAGTGCCTTCACCAACCTAGAAAGACATGGAAGCTGTGGTAAGCTGGCTGAGCCACCCGGAGCGCTTCTGTCAGCGTAGACTGTTCTTAATCATGTAAGCTGGCGTTGACTTTGTAAGAAGCGGTGGTGATGTGTTTATGTGCTCAGAGGCGAGTATATTATAGAGAGAGAATGTGAATTAAAAGGAATAAATCCAACCAGTGTCTGCTTTGGGAGGCTGGCAAAGAAGTAATCCTCAGAGAAGAGGTCCTAGCTCTGACAGGTAGAGATAAAGAAACTTCCGCTACTTCCGTCTCTATTTTAGAAGAAACAAAAATCAAACCATAAATCTAAAAATGAAGGTGCGTTCATCTGGGGAGAGGTTGAAACAAACGATTACATTTCAAGCAGATATTAGGACTGCAAACGTGAACACTTTTAACATGCCAGGAAAAGTGTTTCTTTCCTGAAAGTCATCATTGATTAGATTAGACACTGAAGAGAAAGTTACAAAAAATTATTTTTCATGTAAGTTGTAAGCTGTCTGTAAGCTGGATTCCTAGCACTAGATGTTTTCTAAGAAAAAGCAAAAAAGGTGAGCAACCAGAGCAGTTATGGGAAATTCAAGTGTCTGCTTGGTGAGTAAAGGTTAGGAGAGAGTGGTTCAGCTGGCCTAGAGCTTCACCAAACAGAAATCAACAGTTATGCAGCTTGGGAGGAGCCCAGAGGAAATAGGGTCCCTGGATCATGCCTTAGAGAACCAACACTGAGCCCAAGGCAGTGCTTGTGGGCAGGGAGACGGTCTAAGCCGCCTGCCAGTGCCTACAGCAAGTTAGATATGCATTATCTGCTAATATCCCCAAGGGAAGGAAGGCGTGTGCCAGCTGGAGACCTGCCAGGAAAGACAGGCATGTAGTTCTTGGATGATGTCCAAGGAAACCAGGTGAGGGCTTGAACTCTGGCCAGAGAAGCAGGGTGTGTAACACCTGAGGAAGCTGGG